CAGTGACGCAGCGGTCGAGCAGGACTAGACTATTGCATAGACAGGCCGTGTACAACAGAGAACTATTTGGGTGTGTTCTAACCCTAAAAGTCCGAGCAACATTTAAGGCAACAAAGAGTATTCGTCTCAAACATACCAGGCTATTTATCAATTGTGACAGAAGCGTTAATTTCTCAGAGCAAAGCAACAACCCTCAAGTGATCACATATCCGCGTAACTGGTGAAATGGGACAGCCCAAAATGTAATTTTTAGGGCAATGACAGATCATGCCCCCAATTAAACAGTCAGCAGAAAAAACTTCGTCCCCAACATTTACTAACACAAAAATCCAATCGAAAACAAGAACGGAACCTGGAGATCGCCGGAGACCTCAACGTCGCTGATGGTGGTCAGCGAGGAAAGGTACCGATCGGCGCCGAGAGAAGCCTCGGGGAGCACAGCGTACTGAAGGACCTTGTCGGTGATGAGCATGTCCGAGAGCTCCCTCATGATTTGCTTGGCCACCATCTTCACCCTCCTCTGGTTCGCCATGCACCGAACCCTAATCGGGTTCCTGGCGATGGTCGTTGAGGGACGAAGAGAAGGGCGGAGAGGGACGAAGGAGGGCAATTGAGGCGGGCGGCAGAGGTTTAAGCTCGATAGATTTAGCATTTTTCTTTCTTTTTCCTTCCCCCTTTTTTCTGTGGCAAGAGAGAGGAGGATAGTGCTGAGTGAAAGGGGGAAATTTTTTTTCTTTCGGGATAGTTAGTTCTAGTCCGTTACATCTTTAATTATTGCATGTTAGTCCCTCAAATCTTTTAAAAATTGATTGTTCACCCCTCAAATCCTAAGGATGCGTTTGGCAACTTTCTAAACTAAGCCAGGTTTGAACCTAGTCTGTTTTAGGGCTTATTTGGATTTTGGACCTAGTGAAGGGAAGTGAAGGGAACACAGGAGAGGTTAAGTTAAAGAAATATAAGGGAACATGTAAAAAATGTTTGAGAAGCTAGTAAGGGGAATCAGTGAGAACTTATTTCACCCTGTTTGGGGAAGTTTAATAAAGTGAAGAGAATGGACGGGAATATACGTAAATTTACATAAATAACATTGCATGTTATAAGTCATTTTATCGTTAGAAGTTGGATATAGGGTACGATGGTCTCTTCATAATTGTTTTTTTATTAGAAGTTCCATTAACTTCTCTTCACCCTAGTTATACCCCCAATTTATTTATTTATTTATTTATTTATTTATTTTTTGGGGGGGTAAAGGGGTAAGAAAAACTTAGTTTCCCCCTCCTGTACCTTCTCTTCTTCCTCATTACCTAACAAAATTTAATTCCCAAACATGGATAATGAGTCCCCTAACTTCTCTTCCGCTCTTTACCCCCAATCCAACCAAGCCCTTAGAGAATTTTTTTTCATTGCCAAAAATTGGGAAATGACCCAGTTTATTTTAGGCCATTTTGTGGGCTTTTTAAACCAGCATAGTTGTGAACCAGGAGGGAGCTAATTCATAACTAAACTGGTTCTGAAAAGAAGCAATCGAAGGCCAACTTTAGCCCATTTTCAATGAGTTGTCAAATACATCGTAAGGGTCTCTCAATAATTTTTTTTGTTAGATCTTGAAACCATGATTGAGCTAAGGTTGTGTTTGGCAATCTTTCAAAATTGGGCCAGGTTCAAACTTGGCACTATTTTGAATGTTTTTGTGTTTGGCAAGGTTTTGGGCCACAGTTGACCTTATTTTCTTAGGCCAAAATTTGGTCTTTAAAACCGGTTCTTGTTTGGAGTAGTCTATCACTGATCCAAACTAGAACTAGTTTAGAATAGAATTGGGTCAGTTTCAGACCTAGCCAACAGTAAGCCTTTACTGATATGGTTTGCCCAGGATAAAATAGCAACATGTATTATAATTTCATTTTCCTCATCTTCAAATTAGACTGCCTTTACTGACTTTCCTCCATATCTTGCTTTTATCATATTTGCAGGAAAGATCAGTCCACTCGTTGGGACAATTTACACTATGAGCAAATCATTGTTAGACCATCATTCATCAAGATACGTTTATCTTCCATATTAGATGATTGTATTAAAGAAAAACTTATCGTGAGCTCATTAAAGATCACTTGATGAAGTAAGTCAATTTACACCATGATTATACGTAAAATCTTTAGGAAGACATATTTATCCTCAAAGCACAAGTCAAGCAAACTTAAGTGATCATTGTTATATTGCATGCTACCATCGTTTTGCGAAAAACCAATGTTAGTCTTCACTTGCTCATAAATTATAATTATCTTCTGTATAATTATGTTTTTTTCAATTTTTATGTGGTATTATAATTTTCCTATTTATAAATGAAGTCATCTTTCTGATTGCTTATTATAATTAGGAAATATAGATAAGGAGATAAACATAAAACTACAAATATTGATAAATCAATATATAAATTCTGTTGACATGTTGTACTCTTGTCTTTTATATGAGTGCGCTTTATTTGATATGGTTCTCTATGTATGGCCGTTAGACTTAGGCCTGTCCATCCGGGCCGGGCCGGGCAAAATCGGGACCCGGACCCGGACCCGGGTACACCGGGCCGGGTCCGGGCCCGGGCCCGACCGGGCCGGGTTCCGGGCTGGTCCGGGTGATTTTTCTTTTTTTTATTTTTTCCAAAATTTTTTAATGTTATTTAACTTATAAATTATAAAAAAAAGACAAGAAAAATAACAAAAACAATAATTTTATTAATTACTTAAAATGACATAAATTACAAATAAGAAATGATAAAAACATATTCTTTATTAATAATTGATAAATCAGTTACAAATTACAAGTACAAATTTATTTTGGAATTAATCGCATCACAATAGATAAGTAAATCCCAACTAGGTTGGCACCTACTCACCTATATCACTATCATTTGTAATTATTTCCAAAATAATTTTTTACAAATTGTAAGCTAAGATATAAAAACTACAATCTATTCTTTATATCTATCTGCTAGTCCCAATTCTTCAAATTTATCTTCAATTCCAGCCATCCGATCGATGCCTTGCGTTCGCTTCTCGTACCTCCACCAATCTTGTAGGCACATCACCGCTTGTACAGTATACGGATCTAAGCATGTCCTGTGATCGTCGATCAAACGACCTGCTGTGCTGAAGGCGGATTCCGAAGCTACCGTCGAAACCTGCACTGTTAGTAAGTCACGAACCATGGTGGAAAGTATAGGATATGAAACTGATCCATATACTTTCCACCATTGCAAAATATCTAAAGCATTTCCTTGACATCTAACTAAAGAAGCAGAAAAATCTTCATCTATTTCAGAACCCTCCGATGATGACGATCCAAGTCCAGATCCACCAGTTAGCTCGGCTACCATTGCATACCTATCAAAACTTACACTTTTACCTCGGGCTCGGGATGAGCTCGAAGAAACCGAAGCTGCAGACTGTTGTGCAGCTACACCATGTCTAGCTGCATACTCATCATATAAAGTTTGAAAATAATTTCTAATAAGTAAATGATGAGTAGTAGCATTCAGGGTGGTTCCATCATCTAAGTCTATAACCTGTCCACCATACAATGACTGTAACAAACTTCGAAGGCCAATATCCTTCAAGCATGGATCAATAAGAACCCCCAAACCAAAAATATGAGGAATAGGCCTAAAATACTTATTAAATTTGCTCTCCATTTCAAAAACCATAGGTCCAAAAGTAGCATCCAAACGATATTTATCAAAAAAATTTTGAATATTTAAAATTTGTAAAGCAGCTAAAGTAATGGTTGGATAATAACAGCCAGATAATAACATGGTAGCATCATAAAAAACTTGTAACATTTCATTTAAATTACATATAACTGTCCATTCATCTTCAGTTATTCCATAAGTGCTACCAGAACTAGAACTAGAAGCATAATAGTTTATAAAATCAGTTATAATGTCTTTATATTCTATTGCTACACTTAACATTGCATATGTGGAATTCCACCTATGGTCAACATCTTTTGGAATTAGTCTAGGCTTTACATTTTTTCTTTTACAAAATTGTTTCCATCTTTTAAGTCTTTGTTCAGAAGCACTATGCATGTAAGCAACTGTTCTAACCTTTTCTATCATGGGTTTAATTTCAGTAAATGCACTTTGAACAATTAAATTTAAAATATGACAGATGCACCTAATATGAAAAAGATCACCATGACATGGCAATGATAAAGATGATCTGATAAAATCAACAGCTACATTGTTATTACTTGCATTATCTAGTGAAAGAGAAAATATTCTTTGTGAAATTTCTAATTTCATAAGTTCTTCAATTATTAAATTTGCAACATTAGCACCAGTATGTGACTCTTCTATTGCAATAAAAGAAACAACTCTTTTAAACATTTGCCAATTTTCATCAATCCAGTGTGCTGTGATACATAAATATCCAGTTTGTGCTCTAGATGTCCAAATATCAGAAGTTAAAGAAAATTTACAGTTTAAATTTTTAAAATAAGAAATTATTTTTTCTTGTTCTTGCTGATAATATTTTAAAATATCACGTTGACAGGTTTGACGAGAAAATTTTTTAAATGCAGGATAAAAACCATCTCTAAACATATCTTCAAATTCATCATCTTCTACTAATTTAAAAGGAAGGTTTTTAAGAATGATAAACCTGATTACGCATTTCCTGGCTCTGGCAGCGTCATAGTTCCAACTACCGAGACTACCAGAAGAGGAGGATTGAGAAATCATGGATTGTCGGATATCACCTTGAGGAGGCTGGCCTTTGTTGTGTTTATCTAAATGGCGTTTGAGGTGGTTGGTGCCGCTCTTATGATGAGCTTGAAAAATCTTGCCGCACAAAGCACACTTAGCCTTCTGGGTGAGGATCCTACCGTGTTCATCCTTGGTGACGTCGATCTTCTCGTAAAAATTCCACACATCGGATCTTGGCCGTTTAGGAGCTCTTGGTGCAGATTCGTCGCCACCGGATTCGGGATTAACTTCGGTAGGAGGACTGATAGTAGGAGGACTCATAGTAGGAGGACTCAATTCAGGATCGGGAGATATGTTTTGCTCTTCATAATCAGATCCGGAAGCCATTTGGGGATTGGATTAGAAATTTTTTTTTCTAGAAGTTACTCTTTAGTGCTCATTCTCTCCTTTCATGGGACTCCAAATCAAAATAGTTAGATATTATATTAGCACACTGCACAGAATTTGCACATTATTAAGCACAGTTCTATGGTATAACTACAAGTAAGTTCTCCATTCTTCTAAATAAAGAACATGGAGAAATTATTGGTCAAATATTTCTCATATTTAACTTAGTTAAGACTAAAATTATGTCTTTCTACATGTATAAAGAGGCCTTTGCATAATATAATCTTGGTTAGTTGCTCTAAAACATTATCCTTCATCATATTATTGCATATGCATAACTATATTTTTGAGCTGGATAGTAATGTAAAAAAAAATTAAGAATAACTGCTTAACCAAAAATACAATTTCACGGGAACCCCAGAGTCCTCACAATATAACTAACACGACAGTTAGTGCTTAACCAAAAATATAATTTCAAGGGAACCTAATAGTCATTAGAGCCACACAAACTTTAATACTTGCCGCTGAGGCAGCCCGAACCCGGGCCCGGAACCCGGCCTGGCCCGGTTTTCCGGGCCGGGCCAGCGGGTAAAATGGACAGCCCTAGTTAGACTAATAAGGTAAATATTGATAAATGAATGC